GGAGAATGTGCAGGGCAAGCTAAGTGCTAATTTGTGCAGACTTTTGTGATATTCTGTGCTGCTGCTTTTCACCTGGGGATTGAAGGCAGTCATTTCAGTTCTGTGGATGTATAATACTTTATAAAGCAGCGCATAGGCCATTACTACTAAAATGGAGCATACTCTTGAAATGTGACACTTGGTTTTGGGTCAAAACTATGCCAGCATATGTGAGAGAGATGCCACAAATAGGTTATAACCTGGGGAGTGATGGACTGATGGTTCACTTTGGGAATACATGACACTCAATCACAAACACACTCACAACAGGTATATAATACAGACTCACAGACTATATTCTGAAGGAGATGCAGGTATGACAAAATTTAAAGGAGGATGTGCCATCCCATGGGAGCTGGGGTTTGAAATTGAACCCTATAGTAAAATTAGAGAGGCTGAAATACATACTTCAGCAATTCTAAATACTAAGGAGTCTTTAGAGGGACTATCTGTGGCCCTCTCCACTTTTGTGTGTCTCTCCTTTCCATTTCTGTTCCTTTACCTTAATCTTTTTTCTTTTTAATTCTTCCTCTTCGTTTGTGTGTTTTACATACACTCCACAGAGAGCAATACCATCCACCACAGTGGCTGTAAAACTGATTAAACACATATATACACGTTGTCCAAGTGTGTCCCGAGTGTGTGTGTGTGTGTGTGTGTGCTTGTATGTTTGCATTTGTGCCAGCAGCTGAGTTTATGGATTCAAATACCCTGATTTGCTTGTGTGTATATTGTGTATGTTATGTGTGTTTTATTGTCTTTCAGCACTTTGTTTTGGTTTGAGAACAACAGTTTTGATTCACTCTCATCGGCATTGCTTTTAGCCACCTTACACTTTCTGCTGAACACCAAATAATGCAGATGAAGCTAGCGGCTAACTGGTTAGCCTAGTGTAGCATTTAGCAGATATAGAGCCAGTTAATGTCCTTAATAGTTGGCTGAAGCTAAAAGGAGAGTGAGTACTGGATGGTAGAAGATGGTGATGTTGGTCACTAGTAGGAGTAAAAGAGTGCATACGATGAAATTTTTCAAGAAGGAAAACAGCTAGCCCTCTTGTCTCTCTACTCCAAATGACCATGCTTTCTCTCCTTCCATTTCACTCTCCTCTTGCTCCCACTCTTGCTCATCACACCTCTTCTCCCATCATTTCCTGCCTGTCACCTCCCACCCCCAGCCATCCTGTCTGTTAACAGTCTGCATTGGTTCCTTTGTCTGCCTGTGACTTAAAGGGAACTGTTAAACTCTTTAAGATACAGTATGTCATGGCCATGATGTATACTTTCATTATGTATGTATGTATACTTCCTTTAAATTGGCTGCACATTTCTGAAATAGAAGCTTTGTCTGTCCCTGTGGTAGCATGTGGCAAGTGTGGGTCTGAAATATACAGTATGTGTCAATGACAGTTTTTAACAAAGCTCTTTTAGCCACACCAGAGAAATTCCTGCATGCTTCTAAAAACTCATGGCAAAACGCAAAGCATTCTGTTTTGTGGCGTGTGTGCCTTATATTAAATATTACTTCAGAATTTTTATTTGGTGGTTTCCAGAAGCATACTGTCTGTCAGTGCAGTCTGTGTGTGTCATTTGTTTGTGGATGATGCGGGGACTTATTTCCAGAGAGGAAACCATCCCTCTTTGTTGCCAGCATATGGCTCCTCATACATTTTAATATCTTAATGTCCTAGTTGGTCAAAAACAGGAAAGCTCAGAGTCCATGGACAATGTCTGAAATAGAGGCATTTTGTAGTTGGGGTCACTGACACAGTGACACAAAAGGAAACAGAAGAATGAGGATGTGGGAGAATCAGGGAATGTAGTGTCAATACATGCATGCAGAAGGATAAAAAAACAGGAGCACCGATTGAAAGACAGAAGGGATGGTGACAGAAAGAGGGAGAGGAAGATGGATGAGTGGGGTTAAGCAGGGCACAACGCACAGCTGTTAATACTTACAGTGATACTTGGACAGCCCATCTGGATCCCTGCTTTCCATGTTGTACTGTCATGTATTGTGTACGGGCTCCACTCACTGACTGTTCATACATAAATGAATCCGCTGGCTTTAACTGATGTTTTGCATATTGTTGCATAATTATGAGTGTTTTATGATGCTGGTGGTAGCAGAGAGAAACGTCTTCCTTCTGCAGAGCTACCACAGGCATCCTCCTGTTGTATAGTCATGGCTTTCAGAATTTATGTGTTCACAAGCATGTAAACATGTACATTATGTCTTGTTTTCCAAGGGATTTATTAAAAAAAACACCCCCCAGCCTCTATCTCTCTCACCATGGGACACTCCCATAATACCTTGCCATGCTATTGCTAAGCTCACATTCATCCCAAAACATATTACTCTTCTGACTTTTGATTTTTGAGCATTAGTATGATATAGCAAAGGCGGATGCAAGCTTTTCTCATGCTGGTGTTTGGGCAGGACAATGTATTGTCTTACTTTACTTTTCCTTTCCACCAACCCCCCCATAGATAAACATACAGTAAATAAAGTAGAATTAAAAACACCTTCTAAAGTAAATTGCACAGACTTTGAAAAATGTTGTGTAGTTCTGTTTATATTTGTATTTATTTTATACATATGTATTATGTATTATGTATTATTAGATTTATACCTAACCTAAAATGAATCTTTTTATTGCTGCAGTCTGGAACAGTATTTATTACTCATGTAATGTGATGTGATATATCAGTTACAGTATACCAGTCAAATTTGGAGGCACCTTGTTATTTTTTTTTTTTGCATTGTAGGTCGCTACTGAAGATATTACCACATCCAATTATGTACTGTAGTGAGCAAAAAAGTGTAAACAAAGCAAATTATGTTTCATGTTTTTTAGATTCCTAAAAAAGTAGTCACTGTTGGCATTGATGTCAGCTTTGTACACAACTGACAGTAGTCACCTGAGTTGGTTTTCAGTTAACAGGTGTTCCTTGTTGAACATTAATCAGACCTTCAGTTGTGTTTGTGCCGAACAGTTCATCATTACTTTCACACATGAAGTCAATCTGAAAAATTGTTTAAGTGAACTCATAAAACACCATCAAACAATATGCTGACACTGACTCTCATGTAGACCACTCCAGCAAAGGAAGCTTAAGACCTAATGTTTGTTGTAGAGAAGATTCCAACAGTTGTGTCTTTTAGGCCTTTTTCACTGTAGGAATTTACTTACCCATAACTGAACTTGTACCCTTTGTCCTGGGTTGTGGTTTTCTTTCTTGGCCTCTACCTGCTTCAGAGACAAGTCCCAGGTACTCAAGGGAGGAGGGAGTGAGGATTTGCAGGATTTATGCACATGACTGATTAAATGTAAGTGCAGACACATTTCACGTATTAGAATAATATGCACTTCTGTGAGCTGACCACGTGCAAAGTGGCAAAGAAGTCACATTTCCACAAGCCTGTGTTCTGTTTAACCAGCAGCTCATAGATAAACTGCCCATACAGTCTCCATTACTGGCACAGTTTGTTGCATGTATGATAAATGAGCATTTTGGTTGGTGACTGTAAGTTCTCTGCTCAGCTCTGTGTGTGTGTGCGCACATAGTATTGCTCACATTGCGGTGACTGTGACCTGGCCTCCACAATCACTCAACCTACACCCAGCTCAGATGGTTTGAAATGAGTTGGACCACAGAGTGAAGGAAAAGCAGCCAGTAAGTGCTCAGTATTTGCAGGAACTTGTTTGAGGAAAAGCATTCCAGATGACCGCCCCATGAAATGGGTTTTGAAAATGCAGAGAGTGTGCAAAGCTGTTATCAAAGCAATAAGTGGCTACTGTGAAGAATCTCAAATTATTCTTCAACATACATTTTGTTTACTGCATAATTCCATATATTAAGGGCCTGCTTTGATGTGCCTCCATCTGTAAAACCAGGGTTTGGGTTTTAAATTAATCAACAAAGGGAGATGTTATATATTGAGAAGAGGGACAAACTCAGTGATACAGCTCAAACATGAGGAGAGTGCAGGAGGGTTGGAAGAAAAGGGAAGGGAAATATGGTAACGGGAAGCTGTTATGTCAAACCTAATGGTGAGGATAGGTGTCATGGATTACATGTCAGCAGACAGATTTTCTTATTATGAAAAATGAAAAAATCTTTATATGTGTCTATGTAGTTGCCCACTGCACCTACAGTGTATGAGGAACCATTAAATACTTCGACTGTAATTTACATTGTCTTTATGCCTTTACCTCTGAGTTACCATTCAATTACTGTCACTGTTTTAGTTACCGTTTAGTTTTATCTTAATTGCTTTAATTTAGTTTTCTTATTCTATTTTATTACATTTTTATTCTACTCTTATTCTATTTTATTACATTTTTATTCTACTCTTATTCTATTTTATTACATTTTTATTCTACTCTTATTCTATTTTATTACATTTTTATTCTACTCTTATTCTATTTTATTACATTTTTATTCTACTCTTATTCTATTTTATTACATTTTTATTCTACTCTTATTCTATTTTATTACATTTTTATTCTACTCTTATTCTATTTTATTACATTTTTATTCTACTCTTATTCTATTTTATTACATTTTTATTCTACTCTTATTCTATTTTATTACATTTTTATTCTACTCTTATTCTATTTTATTACATTTTTATTCTACTCTTATTCTATTTTATTACATTTTTATTCTACTCTTATTCTATTTTATTACATTTTTATTCTACTCTTATTCTATTTTATTACATTTTTATTCTACTCTTATTCTATTTTATTACATTTTTATTCTACTCTTATTCTATTTTATTACATTTTTATTCTACTCTTATTCTATTTTAGTTTCTTAAATGTATGGCATTCAATACTTGGTGAGAGAGAAACAGTATTTCGATTTTCTGTATGTCCTGCACAATGTGAATTGATAATAAAAGTCTTTGATCTCTTGTTGATCAACTGTAATGTTGTTTCTCTTGTGTTCCTACAGAACAGCCCATGCTAGGACAAAAAGTGAGGCTGCAGACCAGGCTGGTCTCTCCGCTGTGCACGACTCAGAAATAGCTAGGGCAGTTGCCAGAGAGCTTTCACCCAACTTCTACCAACCAGGTAACCTTTAACAACCAACTACCATACACAACACATGTCTGTATATTATGAGAATACAGTATGTGCTTGCTAAGGGCTCAAATGATACCCTCTCTTGATACTTTGTCTGAATAAGAAACACTTGGATTACAGATGCACTGAAGGGTTGAAGTCAGATGTCTTCACTCCACTTGATGAAATACAACACTTTGACTATTTCAAGTGGCTAAATTTGCATGCCTAGCTGTGCATGCTTACATGGTTTAAGACAAGGATATTATAGACATGACTGACACAGAAATGAAGTTGCACTCCTTGCTAAGAGCTTGTCCAGCCAAGCTGTTCTACAGTTTCCCCACTATCCCTTTTTTATCAACAGTATTCAAACCACATTTTTAGAAATTGCATAACTGGTAGAAGGTGTTTTGGGATAGTTTGTATGAATAATGATGTTTGCACAATTTTAGATGTGTTTACACAGGCTGTGTTTGAGTCAGTAATGAGCTCGGTCTGGGCGCACAAAAGCTTGGGGTTTTGGTGTTCTGGGACTATAGTTGAAGACTGGAAGTATTGAGGATGATTTCTATAACCATAATGGAGGACTGTGTTTGTGTTTAGACAAAGCAGAGCCTGCTTGAAGCAAACTAGTTTTTTTTCTGAGAGGAAGCATTGGTTTTCCTCTCAAAGGCATGTTGTAACAGCCTGGTGCTGATTGTTGGTGTTTTTTTAGATGAAATGAAGTGGAGTTTAGCAACACCTTACAGGTATATGAGCTATGTGAGTGATACTTATACCAAGGGGTCTTTCTCTTAATATCAAGATGTTCTCTTCTTCCTTTTGCCTGAAGGTTTAACAAACACACTGCCATATACAGCAGCTCACAGCATAGGTCATTGGTTCAATTCTGTGTAGTTCATTTATACTTTAAGCTGACATTTACAAGGCAATGCCAGACTTATATAGTAATACTACATAAATAGTATGATTCATTTTTCATTAGAACTCATTTTAAATTAGAAGGACAGGCTGTAATGCTTGAATATGCACCAGTGCTGGGTCATAAATGTTTTATTTTTATTTACAGTGTAAGAAGTATGCCTTCCTTGTCTCTCCCACTGTGTGTAATATTTAGGCCTATGAGCTAACTGAACTTGAGTCCATGCCAAAAGTCACCACAAAATAGTGGATGACAAATAGATTACCAATGGGCCATGTCCTTCCACTAAACCACAAAAATGGCAAGCTCAGGCCAGGGACCACGGCTTGTTTGTGTTGTGGAAAACAGTGATCACAAGTCCGGACTGCGGAGCCTTATATGTCTTGCCTTATATGTCAGATCATGAATGAGAGAGTGGATGATGTAATAATAATTTGCAGAGCAGGATGACATCTGAGCCGCAGCATTTAAATGCTGGGTTATGTAAGCGTGCCGGATAAGCCTTGCTGAAGCCAGACAGGCACCTGTAATAGCCAACATCCATTTTCCATAATATTTTCCTTACTCTCATTTTATTTTAATTTAGATTTCTATTATGCGAGTCAGATTGTTTTAGAATATAAGAGCTGTTTAGGGACTCGTCATGTTAGGATGTACAGTAAACACTTACCATGTTTACAGCTTCCTGGCAAGATGATCAGCACTGGTAGAGAAAAATAATGTACTCTGAAAAAAGCATTAGTAGAGTCATTTTTATCCCTTTGTCTGTCCTAGTTTTACAGTCATTCAATTAAAAGTTACTTGTGTGACTTTTCCAAAATAATATGCTTCCTCATTATCTACGTGAGCTTCTAATAAGTCATCGAGGCTAGCAGCCATGGGTCTAAACCTCTTGTTGTTTGTAACTGGCATTTCAGACACATAGCAGATTATCACCCAGATTAGGTGTGTGCACTTCAAAAGGGAGGAGAGGGTGACAGGGAACAGGACCCTGACCTTTATGATTGGTTCACACACATAGCACCCTGGAGGTGGAGCAGCAAGGGCTGGCTAGGCGTGGCCTGTGACCGTGACGCCAATTGGGCTATATTTGGTGGCAGTGTGTGCCCTCTGGGGTCTAATGGTGACATGGATGAAATATTTGTGCACTGAGAGTTCGTCCCCACGCTTGCTCCTCTCCCGAGCTGACACAGAGCAGCTGTCCCTTCCTTCAGCCAGTTACTGCACAGGGTGGGGTGGGTTTTGGAGGGGCTCAGCAGGGATCCCACTCTGCCCTGTTTGACCCAGTCAAGGTACACTCATGCCAGGTGGAACTGCGAAAGTCTGAGCCTGTCACGGCTGAAACTTAGACATGAGCAGGTGCCACATTATAATTATAGTAGCAGATATTGAAGAGTATGTTTCTAGACAGTAGTTCAAATAAAGTTTAAAGTTATGCAGCAACTTCTTTGAACTTCAAGAACATATCTGAATTACATTAAGATTCTTAACAGAACACAAGGGTTAAGATTCCTTTTCAAATAGATTTTGAAATCATTTATATTTGTCCCATTTGTTGAAATACTAATCATTTCACAAATGATGTAAGGAAGATCAAACATAATATTCATTTGATGATATATTACTGTGGCATAAGCACAAGAGCACAGTGAATTCATTCAATCAGTAGTCACAGACAATGCGGCATACTTTACTTGCATGTGTGTATATGTGTGTGCGTCTACAGTTATTACAGTAGATGTAATATTGCCAAACAATGACAGCTCCCCCTGCCCATCTGCCAGTGTGAGTAGGAGGAACAAAGAGAAAATCTAAAAAGCTACAAATTGAGGCATGAATTTTAAATATAAAAGTGGAGAGCATGCCGAGTCCACAACCATAGAACACACTATTATATATATATATAATGCAATAAACCTAAATGAGAATGTGAATAGAAGATATGTAATGAAATACATCACATGCAATGAATAAAAAAAACAGTAAAATGCCCCTTGGAAGACATGTCATTATGTTTGAAATACTGTATACTGTAAACTCAAACACTTCTGTAAACAGTTTGCCTTAGAAAATTTTTATTTCTATCCCTGTTAACTGTTCTATACATCTGAGAAATTATTTAAAATGTAACAGCAACCTTGGGTCAGTGTATGATTTTCAGTGCTACATGAACAACAAAATTTAAAAAATATTTCTATTCTGCTAAATATGCCCTTTCTTCTCAACTAAATTATAAGATGCTGTCACCTATGAATCTGTTGCACAAAGGCAACAGATGATAAGTGCACATACTGTACTCTAAATAACCAATCTGTTGTGTTTTGTACAAGTATTAGATTGTGTGAGTGTAAGTGTGTTTGCTAATAATGCACCAAAGAAGAAAATGTGCCTCGAATTACAGCAAACAGAACTGGAAACCCGCAGCTTAAACAAAAGCTTGTGTTGTAATAACCTCAAAGAGTCAATGATGAGGTTAGAAAAAAAAAACAACTTTACATGTTCTTGAAAATGAAAATAGTACAGTATATGCACAAACCTCAAATTTAATTAACAAATAATCATTTTAAATGCTGAATCTCAGATTTTTACTTTATTTGGGTTTGTGTTGAGTATTTCCATCCAGGCCATGACTAATACCGTGGCCTATTTTAGTGACCCTCTTATGGAGGGCTGCAGACTCAGCCCAGCTGATCAATGTTCAGATGAAAGAAACACCATGGCTATTTGGGTAATTGACTCCCAGTAAATGTTCTAGCTGACCTGGCAGGATTCCTTGGTAGAGTGCATCTAATACATCCCCATTCACTCATCACAAGCGGATCTACACATGCTCTAATGTCTGAAAAACAACCAGAATTAAAATAGCATATCACTGCTTGACTTCCTGGGGATTGTGAAATTTAACGTGGCTGCAGAAAAGTAGTGGACGTCTGGCATGAGTGTGAGGCTGGAGATTGTTTTAGTGCCAAGAACCCTTCAGAAAATGCTTGGAAGCTCTTGCAGGAATCTGTCCCCAAACAGAGTGGAACTGCTCAGACTCACCCACAAAGCCACTATCTCTTACTGACTTATGGTGTGAAATTAAGCTCAGCAGATATATTAAGCCCTGCAGATGTTCAAATGTCCGCCCAGCTCTTTGTAATGAGATTATTGGGTTGTGGGGGTTATGAAATACTGTAGATTAGAAATGCCATGCATCTGAAAAATACTTTGGGCTTATGAGTACCAAGTCTCAAAAGATTCCTCACTAGGGCTGTTTACAGTGATATGGGATTGGATACATCTGTTCCTTCTGGATTTGATGTTTTTATTTTATTTTATTTTAGTTTTTATAATTTTTTCGAGAAGCAATATGTGTGAAATCTAAATCAAAATAAAAAATTTTCCATTGAATTGCAGTGTGCAAACTTAATAGAGGCATTGAGACATTATTCATCTGTAAGAGATGTTAGAAATTTGTTTTAAAAATGTTTCCTTCTACGAATAAAATTAACTATCTTCGTAATTTATAGATTTCTGTGTTTTGGTGCAGCTCAGACTGGTTGCATGGGATGCTGAGGATCCCTTTGTGCTTACATATTCTTTTGTAGAAACAAAGCACTGTCCTCATCTTAATCGCTTTGACACTCTCTAATTTAGGTGAATTGAAAAAACAGGCAAACAAAGAGCCGATGTCTCTGATACATTTTCATTCGGTACAGAACAAAGAGACAAAGAAGGTGTTTTTCTTACACACAAAAAGCAATTTACTGTTAGCAACTCGCTTTATTTAGGTTACATCTCTTTATTTTTTGAGAGCACATGGAAATTGCTTAATGTCCTTCCAATCGGATCATATCTTCCATACCTGCTTCCACTCTATAATTTTGCTATTCAGATTCTGTAAATCTACTAAATTCTAATCTGATAACAGAGCATGTATTGCACAAGGGGGTTTCTCCTCTATTGCTCTTCCTGTGGTTTCTTACGTTTGTCCTCCATTAACGGATTTTCCACGCAAGCCAAATGGTTCAAAATTTGTCTGCTTTTCCCCATCGTTCTTCACAATGTGTTGGCAGAGACCGTTTTGAATTGACAGGCTGAACTGCACTCCGCTAATATTATGAACAACGTACATCACACCAGCAAGCTGTAGGGACGTTTTGTCATCATAGACATAAACATGTCATTACAACTATGAAACCATTACAGTTCCATTACATTTAGTCACAGTTGGTTAGGTTTAGACATAAACACTACATAAAAATATGTAACTGCTGGTCATAATAACTTGCTGGCACAAATGACATGGGGGAGAGGGTTCTTATCAAGGGTCTAAGCACAAAGTGTGCTGTCTGTTGTACAGAGGCAAATTTGTGTTTTGTGATATTGAAGCATTTAAATAAAATCTGAACTAACCTGACTTTGACTATAAAGTCATGTTGGTTGAATGCTGAGGATTGATGCAGAAAGGGCTTTTCCAGGAAAACAACACACTCGTTAATAAGAATGACTCATTAGAGATGAGCCTGCAGAGGATGGTTTCTTTGTAAAATGGTTTTTGTGACCCTGCAGTTAATTTCTGAGCTTTTTTTGAGAGAGAGATACATCTTTGGTGATATTTGAAAAACCCAGGTTAATTTTCCTTAATATTTTGACAATTTGAGATATGTTGTTTTGCTTTTAGGATTAACCTTGGGCCACTTTCATGTCTGTGCAGTAACTACATTCATTCTACAACACATGCAATAGCTTTATAATTAATGTACAGAGATGAGAATGTTCCATCTCTCCATTTTAACCCTTTCCAAGAAGGTGCACAAGGTGCCAACATTTCAAGCTATTCCATACAAATACATTTAATCATCTGGTATATTACTCAATTAGTAGGACAATGAAAATATTTTTAAACCATTTGGGCTGCAACAAATAATAATTATGACTCAGTTATACTAGTATAAAAATCGTTTAGTCAATTCTACTGATTAATTGATTAATTGATTATTGCAGATTTACAGCCAGATGCAGGTGTACAGATGTAGCTGTCACTTATCTGCTCTGTTGAGGTGTGTCATCTCTCTCACCTCTGCAGGACCAGACTACATAAGACAACAGGCAAAGGAGCCAGTGGAAATTAAAGAGGTCCCTGTTGCAAAGAAGGACAGCTCCTCAAGAGAGTCTCCTCACTTTTACCGCAAAGGTACCACTCCTCCCCACTCCCCTGTGACTAGTTCTGGAGCCACACCTCCTCCTTCACCTCACTCCAACAAAAAGAAGGGTCAGCTCACCAACAGCAGCAGCCAGAAAACCAGCAAAGAGGAAAAACCTTCCCACAAGACAAGCAAAGAAGACAAGTCAAGTCATAAGACCAGTAAGGATGAGCAAGCTAGTAGAAAGCCAAGTAAAGAAGAGAAGCCATCCATCACTGATGTCCCCAAAGGTTTTCAAGTGCATGTTGAGGCTCCACCTAAACCCTCTAAAGTTCAACAGCCTACACCAGCACCTGCTCCTCCTCCAAAGCCTCCCGCCATTCCGGTAAATGGCCAGCTCCATGCTGATTATCATAGTTACCTTGTCAAGGCACCTACAAGGGTCGCTCCACCCCCAGAGCCTGAGGAAGATCCAGAGGAAGAGCCTAGTGCCCTGGCCCTGGCACGTATGCCCCCACAATCCTCTAGATCTTTTAGTACCCCCACTCCTAAGCCAGCCTCCATACGGGAGACCAAGAACGACCAGAAACTCAGGAAGCAGGATTCCATAAAGCCAAAGAGCCTCGCAGACACAAAGAAAGCCAGTATGGATATCACAGAGAGCACAGAAGAAACAGTAAGTGTCAATGTTAGGATAGGAAAGCATTAATTTTTTTAATAAATAGTTTGATATTTTAAGAAATACACTTATTCTCTTGCTTGAGTTAGATGTCTGTATGACAAATACAACATATAGCCAAAGTCTGATAACCCATTATCTCAGTTTAGCACAAATACTGAACTGACATATTTTCTGGATTTCATTACGTTACATTACAGAGTCACTTTTTTTAAAGTCTTTTAGCTAAGCTAAGCTAACAAAATGCTGGATCTCTTACGTCAAGGGAACCAGAATTACCCTAAATATTTATGTTCCTTCTCTTGAAGTGTTTTTATTACCGTAATTTGTGACCAAAGACAAAAGCAGTAGAGATCTTATGATGTTGCTGTAGGTTGTTACATGAAGTCTGATCTTTGTCATAATGTTATTTTTGCAGGGTCCTAACTCGATCCTTGTTGCTATGGTAATGTTGTTGAATATTGGCCTTGCAATTATATTTGTCCATTTTCTGACATGATGATGCTGTTTCTCAGGTAAGTTTATTTATTTTCCTACACACTTTTACCTAACAACAAAAAATGAATGTGAAACACATGAAGCGATCTCTATAGATGAATCTGCCCTTTTCATTCATGTCTTGTGTTTCCTGTTTGCCGTAATGTGCATCTCAAATATGAAAGAAGCCATTTAAATCCAGATGTTTTATATTGCAGTGAAACCATGGCAACTGGTACAGTTGCATTGCTGGCCTTGAAAATGAAAACAGCACCAGTGAGACACAGTGGGTGGCCATAGGTGATTGGGAATTAGCAGGACACCGAAGAGGATCAGGAGGAAGGCATCACTACCACCAATGTGACACAGGCCTTCTTTAGGCCCAGCCCTGGGAATTAGTACTCCTTTGGCTTCTCGAAAAGCCAAAGTGAAATGTTGTGTCTAGTGAGATTTTTACAAAATCAAAAAAAACAAAACATTTTTTAAAAAAGTTTAAAAATGCAACCAAATGTTACCATCTGAAAAATGAGGCAGTTGCTTTCCACACATGTGCTGATCCAAGCACTGGTCTCTGTAGCCCACTCTCAGTGTCTTGGCAAAGATAGTGGTGGGCTGATGGACTTTGCTGGAAGAGAGTGTGCAGATGCAGTTTTAGATGACAGGAGCAAACAGCTGCCTTTCTATTTTGCCATCTGACGTTTTGATTGGGAGATGTGATCCCAGTGGCCGGGAGGGGTGACAGTCGCAGTGGAAGTGTACTCGGGTGTTCTGAGTGTTTTCTGGAGTTCACACCCCTCTTACAACAGAAAACTGGGCACGGCCGTTGCCAGCAGTCAGAGCTAGCACGGCCACTAGCCAGTCTTACTCTGTTAAACCAATAATCATTGCAGCTTTCTATAGCTCTGTTCATTGTAACCTAGGATACACTGCTTTGAAACACTCCCTGTGCATGGTACAGTTTTAACATTTTGTTTTGATTAGTTTTTTGTTCTATTGTAGCTTTTTTTGTTCATTGTTGTTCTCTGAATGTTGGTTACCTGCAGTCTTCTAATTGAAAATGAAATTTCTCTTCTCAAAATGAGTAAAAACAATAGTCGTCCCTTTTATTTTAAAATTTATTTATATTATTTCTAACTATTGATTTGTAATTTCATGATACACATTAATGTTACTGAAAGTGCAATATGTTTAACTTTTTAAGCTTTTAGTATTTGTTGATCCAAATGAGGGGGTTGTTTCATTACTTTAAAAAAACAAGCTATGTATTCATTTATCTTGTCAGACACTCACAATTTGAATATCCTTCACTGGAGAGTGTAATTGATATTGCGTGCAGGATTCCATCTGGCTCATTGTGAAGTAACAAACGTCTTATATTATTTAATAAATCAGAAGGACAATTGTTTCATTGTACTGCAACACTTCAATTTTTCTTGAATTCATTCAGTGTATTCTTTGCTTTCATAGATTCAATCTACCACTAAAATGCAAAAACACAATTCACGCAGCCGCTTTTTAAGGCATAGTGGTGCTTATGAGACTGGATCTATGATCTTGTGTACAGTCAAAGTTGAATTTATTCAGGTTTAGGCCATGGAAAATGTGATACCAGGGAGAAAGACAGATGCCCGTAAAAGTCTTTGGCAGTACTAATGTTTACCTCAGAAAAAGATGAGGGAGGCGGGGAGGGAAGAAGATGCCATCCTGGTCTTAATTTTGTTACGTGGGGGATATTCTGACTGTTGTCGTCACCTGAATCATGCGTTCAACTTGCCTCAGTGTAGCTATTTGTTGTTGCAGGTATGGCATGAGTTTCTTTGATTTTTAAAGCGGTTATTTATTTGGTTGAAATGTTATGTTGTCAACCTTGAAAATTAATTATTTATTCATTGTACTACTGATATGTTTGTGAACAATGATCACCATAAAAAAAAGGGCTTGGTTTCTTTGCTGCAATTCAGTTTTGAAGTATTTTATTTTACAAAATGGGCAGCACATTACATTATATGTTTGCAAACTATTTATATAACTACTGAAAAAATAATCACTAAAATATATTTAAAATGTGGAATAGACAAGACAAGCAGACCAAGAAAATAAGTCAACCCTCGTTTTATCCCCCTGTCTTTCCACAAGGATAGTGAACAATGGAGTTTTGGTGTGTGTAACAAAACATACTTTTTAAGGGATATTTTTTTGAAATGCAACATTGCATGTTGAAAAAAATTTATATAAAAATAATTATATACTATTTGTAAGGATTTTTACAGAGCACAATCCAGAATCTGGTATGAGGTAGTATTTTTTTAACAATTTGCACACCTGTATTTTGACAATGACTATAACTTGTTTGTAATTGGTAATGTAATACACAGTGGAAAAGTACTTTATTTGTAATTGGCTGTAGTGTATGTACCATTTGGGGATGTGAAAGGCAAATGTACTTCTCTGAATATTTTAGGAAATACCGAGGAACTCCGGGACACTTTTCATATCTTGAGGCTCATGTTACTCCACTAATTTGTGCAAAGTCTTTGGAGATGAAGCTATGTGTATTATAATAAAGACGTCATGCCTTGTTGAAGTATATTTCATTTATTTCTGATGTTTTCTATACCCTGCTCTTAATGATTTGATATGCTCACTGTCTTTCAAGCATCCACTCAGTTGTTATGAGATATCGCTGTGTAGCCAGCTGTGGTGTCCAACATCCTCCTGCCTACATATATGACAGACACCACATCACTGAATCATTGTCACCCTGAGCTTAAGACCCTTCTTGGTGTTTAGCATAACAGTCCACAGATGGAGCTAACATCTCCGTCACCAGGTGCTATCCACAACTCAGGTTGCGGTCATATCTGTCATATCCCATCTGTTTTGGCCTCATTCCTGTGAGTACTCTCCTCCTTTTCCTTTTTGTCACTACTGGTTCCAGATATAGCTTCTAATTGGACTCTGTCCTTGAGTGTCTTCACAGAGTTTGGCATGTTTTTTGCTTTACTCCCTACAGTTAGTCCACAAACAGAGAAAAACAGAGCCATCTTTCTTATGTGATATGATTGCACAACATGTTTGTCATGTAGCAGTTCTAATAATACAGTTATCTTCCTTTGAGGCAATTTTAAGAGATTACATAAGGTTCAAGCATCTTATTGTGCAGCTTCAGAACTACAAGCAGTTCAAACATCCTCCTATTGTTTCCACCATATTCCCCTTTTTGGTTTCACCAGTTTTAATGGAACATATACAGTCACACTCTTATAAAATCTACAGATGGATTTGGGATGATGCAGGAAAGGATTTTCATTTGACCTATAAGTATGTGTTCACTTCTATGTATCGCCAAGGTTCATCATCTCATCTGCACCTCATCTTAGCCTCTTAGCAATAATGGCCTCATGGCGATCTTCTCATAATGAGATCCAAGGGGAAAAGCCCAGGCATGAAATCAAAGTCTCTTCTTCTGGGTTTCACATTAACGGTGTGATCACAGGCAGGTGCCCCGTCCTGTCTCAGGTCAGTTTGTGCTGTTGATCAGCTGTGGATTAGTATAGTGTTACACCAGCAGCACCACCTGCCAGGAAGCAGCACAGCCATGTCACCGCCATGACACCACAGAACCTGCAGGGCGTTTTCTCATCTTACTTTGTTTTACGTTTTGACTGTCTGCAGTAACTCATTCATATTTATGATATATTTATTTATTAAATGTACATATGACAAGTGCCTACATTAAAACTGTTCGCCTTCATTTGCAGGTTTAAAATTGTCAGATGCTATTATTAGTACTGGAAAGGAATATTTTGGACAGTATTCTGCCTTCCTGGCACTTAAAAGCCCTATGTAAAGCTGAACTTGTCAGTAGTAGTATATAATATCTGTGTTACTATTCTGATATTGCAAAGCATGCTGGACAATATTTGGTTGCACAAGTAGTCATGGATAAATATAAACTAAAACCCCATAAGTGTATCCTTTCCTTTTAGAGGTCGTTTAACAAATTCCAGTGATAGCTATAATCCTGGCTACAGTGAAGAATCTGCTGTCATGTTATTAGGTGTATCTACAGTACCATCTGTTGTACAAACAGTACACTCCATGTTGATATATAACAAAAAATGGAAACGCAAAGGTCAAAGTTGTTGCCATTCCCATTTACTTTGAAAGTTCATTATTTGTTGAAGTATCAGTGAATTAATTTTATTAATTTAATTTGTTGACTGGGGGCAGCACGGTGAAGTGATTAACGCTGTCACCTCACAGCGAGAAGGTTCCAGGTTGAGCCCCAGCCGACACAGTGCCTTTTTGTGCGGAGTTTGTATGTTCTCCCTGTGTTCTCTCCAGGTACTCTGGCTTCGTCCCACAGTCTGAAGACATGCAGCTTAGGTTGACTGGCGGCTCCAAATTGCCCAAAGGAGTAAATGTGGGAATGTGCAGTTGTTTGTCTAGGTGTCAGCTCTGTGACTGACTGGCGACCTGTCCAGGGTGGACCCTGTCACTCGTGGTATAGATAATGGATGGATGGATGGATGGAATTTATTGACAGTTTTTATAAAGCCCTTCAAAAAAATGGATTAAGTCTTGTAAGCAATGAGAGGATAATAGTGGCCAGTGTTTTTCAAAGCTGTCACCCCTTCCATTCCTTCCATAGCTACCTTAGCTTAACATTGCTTCATCTGTTATATTTACACAAACAAATCTCAGTTATAAAATCATACATCTATCACCTTGTCATCTAAAATTAATTATTATGTGCTATGTTCCCACATGCTATGGTCTGCTGGCAAACACACCAACAAGTAAACACAGTTAATTTACAGTATATGCCATTTCGGCACAGTTTTTTAATGTGCTGTTTATTTACTGATGTGAATTTTGATGGTTTTATCATAGTGGTCTGTATAAGCAGAATCAGTATAGCTCAAACAAGCAAGACCTCACATAGTGCATTAATATCAAGCTATTATTAAAAGTAAATAGTTGTGACATCCGCTTATCTGTCTGTTATGCCATTTTCATCATGGTGGACTAGAGGCAATAAACTAATAGTGATATTATGTTTCCTGTGCCCCATTCTGTACTTGTGACAGGCTAATGGCTTTGTCTTAATGGTTACATAATATAATGGTTTTGAATCATCATTGTATTGAATAAATAAATATTACTTAATCCCTATTTTGCTGACATATTTGCTCTACTACTTGAACCTGAGGATATCACATTACAGAGCAGTAACAATGGTGACCACACATTTTTTGTTAGTTGACAATATCTGGGTATATTTGTGATGCCAAAGTCAACATCATCTTGAAATAATTTTCTAAGTGAATGTTTTGATTTAGCAATTTTCTTTTTTTTTTAAATTACATCCATTCAAGAGAAGCAGTACTCTTGTATTTACTGTGACATACCCTTCCCTCTTTTCAGAGAAGAAATACCCAGTGACATTCTGCCACCATCTTTTCCCATCATGACTGGTTTCATTCAGGGTTGTAGTCATCTTATTTGTTGACTGACTACGTGGTAAGATACAGGTGTACAGTATGGGGTGCTATTAGAAAATGGAATGAGAGGAATTGTGAGGTATTGTCTGCTTGCCTACCATATCATACCCACCACTATGTACTGTAACTCAAATTTAGCAATGAGCAAGAAAGATGAGAAATACTTAAACCTCATTCAGTGAACATCACTGAATATGCATAATTTCTAGCCCATAAGAATGTAAATCATGTTGAATATGGTGTATTTGATGACCTAGAGTGTCATACAAACACAAACATTTATTTAGACTAAGCTAGTAGCTCTTACCCTGTAAAGCCCAACATATCAAAAAATACCCAGAACATTCTAATTTTTTGGAACTGAGATGTTTATTAAACCTTTTAACAAAATCCAAAATAAAATTCATGATTCAAAAAATCCATACTGTATGTACAGGATGTGTATGCATTTTTGTCTTCTGTTTTTTTTTTTTTTTTACTTTTTTACTTGTAGTTTTAGTTTTATTCAAATTTTATATTGTTGTGCACATCAGGGGCCAATGGGCTGAAGTCAAATTCCTTGTATTTCTGATAATACTTGGCAATAACGTTTATGCTTATGCTTATACAAGGATAAAGACTGACAAGTGCCTCTTCTAGCAAGTTAACTGCCAACTAACAAGAGTGCTTGCATGTGTTATGTATGTCTGTGTGTGTTAAAGAAGTTGTATTCTAAGGGCCCACAGCAGCTTCCTGAAAATAGAGCTGAGAGCAGCTGCACTGGGGTGGGTTGTGTTAGCGGGGCATCAAAGCGGCTGCCCGCTCTGATCTTAATGGTGTAATGGGGGACTGGAAGGTCAGTAATTGTTTGTGGTTGTGTGTAAGTGTGTATGTGTGAGAGTCAGTTAACAGGCAGGAGGCTACTAGAACTTTCTAGAACAGAAACTGACAGCGTAGTTGCCATAAGTCAAATACCAGGTCAGGCATCATCTCTGCAGTGACCATTGACATTTGTGGTAGCAAAGTGTACATTCAATTAAATAAAGTGGGCCAGAACAGTTTGTTCAAATGAGCTCCGTCGTGAGTTATGTTTGGGTCCTTAAATATCTGTGTAAATGAACAGCATTATGAGGAGAAAAAGCTGTAAATAAATAAATAAACAAATAAATAAATTCCTTATGTTGTTCAATGAGGAGTAGGATATTCATTCAGAAAGCACCTTTGAGTCAAACAGTATGATTTACAGACGAGCTTAGTGTCACAGCTCAAATAACTGCCTCAGTTTGGTAGTCTCAGATTTCAATTGTTTGTTCATTTTCCAGTTTGAGAGAACTCAAGGCAGGATCAGGGCAAAGTCACATTCTGAGCCTGCCCATGACTACAATTCTTACTCATTTTTTCTTGATTCCAGATTTACGGGCCTGCAAAATTTCTGTTATGTCCAATTAGCACCTGCTCACACTCATCACAGTCAGGAACGTTAACGTGAAACTCAAGCGCCACCTGTAGGTTTGACAAAGCAATAGCACCTCTAAAAAATTTTTTTATAAACCACTCTAGGTTTGACAAGTTATTTGAGCTCTTTATTCATTTTTTTTTAAATTATATTTATTCCTACCACCGCTTTTCAACAGAGGTGTAAATATATATTACTCATTAATAGCATTTGTTGGCATGTCATTTTATTACGTGTGTTTTTTGTGTGATTACAACCGATTCTTATAAACACATTTTGTCATCTGGGGAATTTGAAGTGAAACAAAAATTAAACCAGTCTGACGTTTTCAAGCGGAAGGACACGATAATGCTGCCATTACGATTGTTGCCAGCCGCTGTTGAAAATCAGGACGAAGAAGAAAAGACAGAGAAGACTAAGGTGGGACCACTTCTTTCTGTAAGCGAATTTCTACGGAAGATATTTATTGCGGACGAGTGTTCGTACAAACTGTCCCGGGTATCAACAGCCTGGTGGTTAACGTTAGCTGAAAGGTAAATTATCATCCACCTTCTTATATAGAGTGGTAAGAAGCGGCGTTGGGATTATTACATGATGTTGTGTGTTGGACTGTTTATCCCATATGAGTTATTAATGTTGGTTAAAGAAATTACATGTATTCTTTAGCGAGGAATTAGCTCACTAGGCCAACACCAGCTAACGGCAATGACTGCGTCAAACGACTTGAATATTGAAATAAATTGTCACAGGTGTTGTTTATTTTACGCTGGGTCGTGACAGAGAAATTACACTTGTTGTTATTTATTTTAACAATAATCATATTGTAGTACGTTTGTGATAAGTCAACTATTTATTTTATTTGGCTTAACGTTAAGTTACACTGTTAGCTAAAGGGCTATCTAACGTTAGCTAAGGGAGATATTTACATTAACGCGATTGCTTAGTTCTACAGCCAGCGTCAACATTTGTCGACGTATGTACTTTATTGCAGAGTCGTTCATATGATTGATCTTTTGTATGTTTCCGTGTTCCGTTTCAGGATTAACAAATTCCCGAACAGGATGGGTGAGCAACTAACTGACTAATTTATTGTCCTACATTCTCAGAAATGCATAGTGTTTGCCAGTTCATACATGTTCTCTTCATATCTGTACCTCCAAAGTCACTATCATTCTTCTCTGCATTGGACTTGCACCTGTTTAAGATTGTCAGTTTTTTTTTTTTTTCTTTTTTTGTTGTTGCCTGGCAGATGGTGAAGAAAGAACCTACGGTGGCTGTGAAGGTCCAGATGCCATGTACGTAAAGTTGATCTCTTCAGATGGCCATGAATTCATTGTGAAAAGGGAGCATGCCTTGACATCTGGGACTATTAAAGCCATGTTAAGTGGGCCAGGTGAGTATTTTGGTAAATTACTTGAACAAATTCTTTTTAAGGTCAGCCAGGTTGGATGGGGTGAGCTGGAGCACAGCCATTTTCAAATCTCTCCAGATATACTCTGTTGGGTTCAGGTCTGGACCTCTCCTGAACCACCCCAGGAATTTCACAGAGCAGTTCTGAAGCCACTCTTGTCTTTTCTTGGCGATATGCTTCAGGTCTTCTTGTTGGAATGTAAACCTTTGTCCCCATTTGACATCCTGAGCACTCTAAAGAAGGTTTTCATACAGAATTGCTTTATATCTTTCTATCCTGACTAGCCATCTGTTCCCAGTTGCAGCAGAACATTCCCACAACACGATGCTGCCATCACCATGTTTGATTGTTGGGATGGCATCAGTGAGGTGATGCTCAGTGCCTGATTCTCTCCACACGCACTGTTGGGAATTGTGTCCAGATAGTTCAGTCTTTGTTTCATCAGACCAGAGGATTTTGCTTCTCATAGTATGAGAGTCCTTCAGGTGCCCTTTGGCAAACTCCCAGTGGGCTGTAATGCGCCTTTTACTGAGAAATGGCTTCCATCTGGCCACTCTACCGTAGAGACCTGATTGGTGGTCCAAATCTCCTTTATTTGAGAATGATGGAGGGTGCCATGTTCTTGAGCACTTTTAACGCTGCAGAAATTTTCTTGTATCCTTCCCCATATCCGTGTCTTGATACAATCCTGTCTCGCATGTCTGCGGACAATTCCCTTGACCTCATGGCTCTATTTTCACTCTGACATAACTGCCAACTGTGAGACCTTATATAGACAGGTGTGTGTCTTTCTTAGTTGTATCCAGTGCATCAAATTAGGCACAGGTGGACTCTAATTAAGTTGTAGAAGCATCTCAGTGACCACCTGAAGAGCTCAAATGCAAGTGCCATAACAAAGGGTCTGAATAATTAAACTGGGATATTTCAATTTAATTTAATACATTTACAAAACACTCCAAAATTTGTTTTCACTCTATTATTATGGAGTATTGCTTGTAGATGAGGAAACAATTTAATTGAATCCATTCTAAGATTAGTCCTAAACATGACAATGTGGGAAAACTTGAAAGGGTCTGAATACTTTCCGTACAGACTGTACCTGTAGAAATACTTTTTTGTCTACCTGACATGAACATGTATATTTTACCAAGATGATGTAAGTTGTTAGTATTCCTGGGATTTGCTGAAACTCACTAAATGTGGGCATTTATAAAATATTTGTTTTTCCCAAAGCCAAATGAGAGACAGACATCATAACTTGGACTTGGAAAAATTGAAATAGTGTTAGAGCCTTGTGTTTTTTATCATCCATGTTGTTGAGATAGATGTGACTCTACTGTAAACAGCAGACACAACACTACTACTACTTTTGGCTTCATTTATCAGCTTAGTCACTGTTAACATATACAGTCAGTAATATTGAGAATCCCAGTGTAACTGCTCACCCATATGTTTGCCCTGTTAACTGTAGCTATACTAGTGGCCTGTATCCTAGTAGCATGTGTATGAGGTTTTACAGAAAATGCGTATAGTTGCAGTGCTTCATTTCATTACTTTGCTTGATTGAGCCCTGTAATGTTTAATATAATAAAAATTGCTGTTTTATGTAGTCGAGTTAAACTTGCCTGTCCAGCTGGTGGCACTATAGCACTTTCAATATAATGGTTTTCTTACTACCTATTAAACATGTACTATAGAACTTTTTCTAAAATGCATTGATACCTGCTATGGTCTTAAGCCTTTTATGTTGGTGAGTAGCATCTTGCAGAATTATTCTGTTTAATATCTACTTCCAGGATAGTATATACAAAGGGCTTTTTTTTGTTGTTCTTTTTTTTTTTTAATTATTGGTCTGCATTTTGGTATTTTTACTCAGACACCCACTCTAACCCTCTGCAGGGCAGTTTGCTGAGAATGAAACAAATGAAGTGAACTTCAGGGAGATTCCATCTCATGTCCTGTCCAAGGTCTGCATGTATTTCACCTACAAGGTCCGTTATACCAACAGCTCCACAGAAATACCTGAATTTCCCATTGCTCCGGAGATCGCGCTGGAATTACTCATGGCTGCAAACTTTTTGGATTGCTAAATTTACAAAGTAAATGTAAAAGCTTGAAACATTTTTATTTTTTTTTTTGTTTAATATTTAACTTGTTTTGCTATTTTCTTCATGCGAAACATGAATAAGTATGTCACCACAAGAAGTTTTATTTTTTTGCACCTCTTTTTCTGTCTATTACAATTAAAGCATAACATTTTAATATATGTAATGGATATGGCAGGGGGCCCTGTTTTGGCAACAAAATTATAAAAATGA